TAAATGGAGAAGATCAGTGACAATGTCTCTTTTCGCCTTTTCTCTTCTCCCAGCATCCTTTGAGAAGCCCAGGAGAAGGCTACTGGAACTCTTAAATACTTCCACTCCATTTGCCAAGGCAAGAACTTAAGCAGAGTCTTCCTCTGTACTTTTCTCATATATATGGGTGTTCATGGCAATAACTTAAGTTAGGGGTGTGTGTGTGACACTCAAAGTCCTCTGTAGAAAGGGTGCTGCTGACATAGAAACCAATTTGCTACCAGAACAACCAGGACACTTCATTCCTCCTTTCTGCTCTCTTCAGATTCAGGTCGGCCAGTTATCCTGTGGTCATTTCTTCAGGCTTTCTGCTCAACTGTGAGCTCTGGAAATAAATTACTGTAAGGGAAAGGTGGAATACAGACAAAGTCACACCACTGCAAGCCATCTTATCCTAGTCCAGAGCTACTCAAACAGTGAACTATAGTTAGGACCTCAGCGAAATTGAGCATGGAGACCAAAAGTGAAAGGAGAAGCACGCTGCCTTTGAGGGGCTTGCCAAATGGTCCTCTGGTCAACCTGAAAGGAGGCATCTTGCTGAGTAGAAGCTGGATACAGAAAGCACTGCACATGCACATGTGCAGGTTTTTACCCATGCAGGCATCTGCAGCACCTTAGCTTGTGCAGCGCAGGTGGGAGGATGACATTCAGAAGCCTTCCCCTCTACTCGGAACAGCAGCGCTGCCTCTGCCCCAACCCCATCCTGCCAGTCCCTGCTCATTGGGAAACCACTGTGCTAGGAAGCTACTTCTTCCTAGCTGAGATCCTCATATGATAATGTCCATCTAAGCGTTGTTGCTTGTGGTATAGGTCAGTAGTAATGACTCAGCCCAGCCCTTCACTTTCCTTCCTCTTGTTGGCTAGACACAAAATCCAGCCCACAAACAAATTACTCTGTCCTGTGCACCAATAAAGACGATTCTCTGTTAATTAACAAATTGCACACAAAAGTCCCTGTCTTGTATTAAGAGACTCTTGAATGGCTGTGAAATCAAGCACTTAAAAGTTCAGAAATTCAGAACTCTCCCTGCAATCTGGATGTACGGTTTGGGGGGTTTGTTTTGGCTTTTTTGATAGATATAATCATGCATAATAGTATAACTTCTAATGAGATAAACATAGTAATTTTTCATCTGCTTAGTTTTTGCAGGAGGTCAAACAAAGCTGAAATGTGCCTTCCTCTACGTTCAGTGTCTTTGCATAAGAGGTGTCTTTGAGGTGGAGATCTCCACACCCCTATATGTAATAACGTAGTGCCCTCTGTTGGAAAGCTGTTCCTGACGCTGTCTCCTGCTTGCGTCCAGGTGAGAGAAAAACACAAATGCCATACTGTCATACATGTTACTGTACATTGGTGTAGTCTGTACAGCGCCACACCAGCAGGTTTAAAAATTAACTTAACTTTTCCCCTCTCAGATATTTTTTGTTCAGCTCGGGCAAGCAGTTGCACTGGATTACTATTAAGGCTTTCTGTGAGAGTTTTCAAGAAAGATCTATTGTTTTATTATAGTTTCAGCTTTTAAAAAATAAAATCTTTGTGATTTTAGCCACAGAAGGAAAACGAGAGGCTCTCATTCACCTCAAGGTACACAAGCCAAGCTGGGTCCTGTCAACAGGGGGATGTGTGGGGCTGCAGACCGGCTGCTGACTCCACGTCTGTGGATGGTAGAGATCAGCTGTAGCCCAAAGAAACAGTTCCTAGTCTTTGCTCACACAAACAGGGCTTGTTGGCTAGAGGAAGCAAATCCTACTGTCTGGGATACCCTCTCCTGTAGCGCAACAGTTATTTCTCCCATTCCTGACAGCAACAGGAGAAACCAACCCCTCTCCTCTGGGCTTTGCCTGATCCCTCTTCCCTGGATACCCTGCACCATTAGAGCCAAGGTTGGCCCTTTATCTCCCACCCTGTCCTACCATCCTCAACATCCAATCCTAACCATACATCAATGAGCCATCACCCTACTCCAAAAATTGCAATGAGATTAATGCCATGGTTCTCCAAACCACCTTCACTGTATTGGCCCAGGATAACATAGCTTGTCAGGGTCTACCGGGAGGGCACAGCTGTGGTCACAGACCTCTTCTGTGGGACCAAACCCTTACTCTAACCCAACTCTCACCTACTAACTGATCCCTAATATCTGTGACCTTGTTAGGCCTTGGAAAGACATGTTCTCTTCTGGCCTGTGGTAGCAGAAGACCAAAACCCAGCTAGGCTTTCCTGAAGGCCCTAAACTGAATGTGAATCCTATAATAGCCCACAAATTTAATAATAGAAAAGTGAGCACACATTCCTGAAACCACCTCCACAACATTGGCCTGATGTACGACAGCCCCCACATCTGCCAGGGACAGCTCTTCAGAGGCCAGTTCAGGCCACACATCATCTGCAGGATCAGCTCCTAACCCAGTCCACAGATTTCATCCAACTCAAAATCCTAAAGCAATTAGTCCCTTAAAATGAGTAAGATGTTCTGCTCCACATTATTACCAGTCCTAAAACCCTCAGGTCCAGTGTTTTGACACTTCGTCTTAAGGGCGGTGGGAGGAAATATATTTTAGTCCTGCTAAATAAATACATTATTCTGGGCCACCATAGTTCCAGCATTAAAGGCAGTGCTGTGAGACCCCTTGCTAGATATAGTACACCACCTCCTTTACGTCCTTTCTTCTAACCCTATCTCTATACCAGCATTTTATATGAGGAGACAATTCCCCGTGGCCCTCACCACCACGCCTCAGTTATGGAAAATGAAACCTTTCCCATACGATGGGTTGTAAAGATTAATATTTGGTGAGTGGCCAAAGTAGACCTCTTGGATGTGAGCTTGCAGAGAAATACGAACATCCACACAGTGGTGGGGAAGTATTGTTTGTCTGGAGCTATGATACTATTGTTGGAAGGGCAGACTGAAGCAGGATTGTTTCATATGAGCAAAGGCACAGTTTTCATGAAGTAAGCTTTTGTCCTTAACTCACAAAAAGGGCCTTTTTTGTGATTCACACAGTGTGACATTTTTAGTTTTCTTTGCATTTAATTAAAAATGGGACAAACATAATACTACAAGTAAAACATGAAAGCAGAATGACCCTATAAAAACCTGTTTTTTCTACCTTAGAAAAAAACCCTCGGTACTTTACATTGGAGGCTTAGATTGTTAACTGGCTGAGGTAGGGACCACATCCTTGTCTTGTGCTCACAGTCCATTTGTCGCAGTGAGCATCTCTTCTGAATTTATCATATCCCCTGGGATGGGTGAGTTGCAGTCCCCAAAGCATCTGAGAGAATAAAGAAACAAAGACCAAAAAGTTGTTTAAAGGTTAGTTTGTCACAACTGTAAGTCAGTAGACATGAGATCTACATATCTGAATTCTTGCAAGGGACAGAAGGTGAGAGAAACAAACCCTGTTAGGTCTTGTGTAGTCTACGACCTGAAGTACAGGCTACAGCTAACAATGACTAATGCAGTGCAAATAATGATTCATAATAAGTCTAGAATATGCCATACTATTCTTTCTCAGAACAGAACAAGGATAGGTACCTTCTTTCTGTTTTGGGAAGGTGCTCCAGATGCCCAAGTTAACTACTAACCCAGCACCCAGATAGCTCTCTTACCACCCCAAAGATCCTATTTGCTGTCCTGCTGACTCCATTCACCCTGCTTCTTTGTTTACCTCTTCTCTTTCTCTCCAAGTGCTTCAAGGTTCTCTCTTCCCTCTATGTCCTCCTCCCTCATTAGTAATTCTCACAAAAACAACATAACCTCGCAAGGCCCATCATCTTAGTAGGGTACTCACATCCAACCACTGTTACCCCACTGCACTGGAGCAGTATCAGATTGTTCTCTGTAGTGTTTGGGGTTGTGCCTCATATTCATAGAATCATAGAATGGTTTGGGTTGGAAGGGGCCTTCAAGATCATCTAGTTCCAACCCCCCTGCCATGGGCAGGGACACCTCCCACTACACCAGGTTGCTCAAAGCCCCATCCAAACTGGCCTTGAACACTTCCAGGGATGAAGCATCCACAACCTCTCTGGGCAACCCATTCCAGTGTCTCACCACCCTCTTAGTGAAGAATTTCATCCTAATATCTGATCTAAATCTACCCTCTTCCAGTTTAAAGCCATTACCCCTTGTCCTATCACTACACGCCCTTGTAAAAAGTCCCCCTCCAGCTTTCTTGTAGGATTTCTTATGTTGAGGGCTCCAGAGCTGTATGCAATTATTCCAGGTGGGGTCTCACCAGAGTGGAATAGAGGGGCAGAATCACTTCCCTCGACCTGCTGGCCACACTTCTTTTGATGCAGCCCAGGGTACAGTTGGCCTTCTAGGCTGCAAGTGGACATTGCCAGCTCACATTGAGCTTCTCATCCACCAACACCCCCGAATCCTTCTCTTCAAGGCTGCTTTCAATCCATCCTCCACCCAGCCTGTATTTGTGCTTGGGATTGCCCCAACCCACATGCAGAACCTTGCATTTGACCTTGTTGGACTTCATGATGTTTGCATGCGCCCACCTCTCAAGCCTGTCCCTCTGGATGGCATCCCTTCCCCCCAGTGTATCGACTGCACCACAGACCTTGGTGTTTTTGGGAAACTTGCTGAGGGTGCACTCAATCCCACTGTCCATGTCGTCAACGAAGATGTTAAAAAGCACTGGTCCCACCACTGACCCCTGAGGAATGCCATTCATCACTGGTCTCCACTTGGACATTGACCCATTAACCACAACTCTTTGAGTGTCACCATCCAGCCAATTCCTTATCCATTGAGTGTTCCACCCACCAAAGCCACGTCTCTGCAATTTGAGACAAGGATGTCATGCGGGACTTAACTGCAAGACTCCCAACAGTAGCTTGAATATCTTTATCCCATCTCTGGTGCCGGAGTCAATGCCTGCCCTGCAGGACTCACGGTGACCATGCGCCACTCAGGTGTTGATTTCTTGCTGAGGTGGATTCACTGATGCTGAGTAAGGGATGAATCCTGGCTCCAGCTCTTCCCACAAGGAGCGCAGAGATAAGGCTTCTCTCCAGTGTGAACCAGCTGATGTTGAGTCAGGTCAGAATTCCCTTCAAAACTCTTTCCACAGTCACAGCACCTGAGGGGTTTCTCTCCCATCTGGGCTCTCTGTTGGTGAATGTCAAGGTTAAAATGTGTTCATTTTCATATGAATTTTTAGATGGCAGGTCTCCTTATTTTCAGCTGGGGTAATGTCATCATCAGCTGGAACAGAGGGGGGAAAAATTACTCAGATATGGTTATTCTCCCAAACACTACATAAAGAAGAGCATTTATGAGATTGAATGCCATGAACCAATTCTTCAGGTGAAAGGTTCTGGGGTCAAGAGCTTGCAGTCTGGAATTCACGGGTTCTCATCTTCCATCTGCCACCAGTTCTCTTATCGTCTTCATCATTATATCTGTTTTATATAGTACCTTTTATCACCAGGTGCATGCCACAGTTATACAAGTAGAAAAAACTGAGATGAGGAAGAAGGTGATGGTTGAAGAGACTTGCACAAAGTAGCCCATCATGCCAGAAGCAAAGATAAGAACTGGACACATACTTCCAGAGTCCTTGATCAGATGCTTGCTTCTTTCTAGGCTGGTATGTTCGTCCTAAAACAATGACAAATTTTAGTCTCCGGTCTATTTTGCAAAGGCGTGATGTCCTCAGTAGATAGTATCTGTACGTGACTTTGAACACTCAAAGTTCTCTTTCAGTGCTAATGAAATAAGCTGCCTCAAATGACTCTAGGTAGTGTATCCAGTTTGTGGATATGCTATCCCTGAAGTTCAGAGGTACCAGAGTTGACTCAGAAGGCCCATCTTGTCTTGATAGGAATTATGAGTAGGAATATGTCTAAACTCTTTCAGAGTCAGCTTGGGTCTGGAAGCACATGGTGGAAAGCCCAAGCTAATGTGCCCTGATGGAACCAAAAGTTTTGGGAATGACTGCAGAGGCACCTGAATGGCTTGTCACAGAGTCAGGTCAGACCCAGGAAGGCTTATAAGCTGTGGCTCAGCATCGTCACTGCTGACTCTGTGCTGATCCTGGGGGTGGAGCCTTGCAGTGCAACCTGCACCACACTACCCAGATTTCCCGTCTCCTGAAGAACCTTTTATCTTGTGTACCCAACAGATGTGGGCTACCTGTGTTTTCATGTAGCACTGTGCCTGAGCTCACAAGCTATGTGGATATCAGAGCACTGGTAAGACAAGCGTCTCACCGAATCACCCAGATCACTATGAGCCAGAGCCACTAAGCTCTACGAAGCCTGTTTAGTCATTCCAGTGTCACTGCAGTATATTTCCCAGCAGAGGAAATGGTTTGGCAGTGTCAGGGTAGTTTACATTTCTCTGCATGAGATGGACTGAGAAATACCTCCTAATATTGTCCAGGGACTGCCTGCAAGCTGCCCAGTCAGCACATAGCCCTAACTAGCTGTGCCGTTACCATTAGCTGGTTGGCTGGACAAACTTATTGGAGCCATTGGTAGTAGGACCGTTTGGTGTTAAAGACCGGACTGAACTCAGCATCTGGTTAGATTATTAACATTAGACACCCATGCGGTATCCCAAGAAAATCTTGCTAACTGTGTGTCCTTTAGGTAGTGGAGTTACGGCGTGCTGATGGTTTTAATATACCCTTATGGGCTGGAAAGGTCTGCATGCGTCAATATACTCTATATGTTGGGAGTGTTCTGCTCTATGGTGGGTCTCAAAAGAACCATACAATCTGGTTTTTTACAGTGTCTGAGGTGTTTTATGGCCTCATAACCTCAGATGGTGGAGAGGTGACTGTATAATCTTGCTGTGGGATTGGCCCAGCCTGCAAGCATTTCAATAGGAATAAAAGTGCACCAAAGAACATAGAAGTGGCCAGCGCTTCTCTGCAGGACACAACCCTGCAGGTTGCTATGTGGGAGTAGGAGATAACAGTGGAAAAAGGCTGGTAGCAAGAAGGAGGTGTGATGGGGTAATGTGTATGAAGGAAATAGTGCTAAAATATTTTGCCAGCATTTTCCAGCTCAAGAACTGCAAGGCAATTTCTTTGAGAGGAAAGATTAAAGATTGCTATCCATTTTTGTATGTAACGATATTTTGAATTTAAATGCTTGTATTTGTAGTAGTAAAATTAGTATTTGTAAAACTATAGTTTTTTTACCTAAATGCTGAACTTGTTTATTTATCACCCATACATTTAACAACCCATATGATGTGTATGGATTTTTTTATTTATTTTTTTTATTAATTATTTTATTATTTTTTAAAAGGTTAGATGGACGTATACTTTCCAAAGGCTGAGACACAGCACCGTGGTCCATCCTCCACTGAGAGAGCATGATGATGCTTGCGTAATGTTTTACAGCTTCCAGGGAAGTGGGTTTCACAACCTCCCTGAGTAATCTATTCCAGCGCTGCCTTACTCAGAGAAAGTTTTTGCCATATCTAGCCTTTTTATTTTTTTCCTTTCTTCTTTTCTTTCCTGAAAATTAAACCGATTAGATCTTATCTTTGTCCTTCCAGCAAGGTAATCGCTGCCTTTCTTAATAACAACCTCTCCTGCACTGCAACCATATTATCATGTCCTGCCCTACTCCCAGCCTTCTCCTCTAGACTCAACAAACCCAGTTCCCCTGCTTCTCCACAGAGGCTGTTTTCCAAACCTCTTATCGCTGCAGATGTGCTCCCGTCCCCCTGCTCCCTGCCGGGACCAGCTGGGCTGCTTCCTGTCCCCCTGTGGTGGCTCCTCACTTCTCTCCAGCCACGTGCTGCCGCCCCGCAGCCCCACAGCCCTGGCAACCCCTTCTCCAGCCCCGGGGGCTCGCCCGCGGTGGGGCTTGGCTGGGATGCTTGCCGGGGCCCAGCGAGGGTGCTGTGTGGGGGCGGGGGCCCTGTTGGGCCAGGTGCTGGCAGCACGGGTGCCAGGCCCCCGGGCTCTGCCAAGCGCAGGAACCGGCATGTGCAGTTCACTCCTCTTACCTCCCAGCCCTGTCAGGAAACCAGCGTCCTTGCTTTCTGGGGTTTGTACTGAATACCCAGGTTCAGGAAAATCACCAACTCTCTCCTCAGGTGCCCTCAGGTCATAGAATCACAGAATGGTTTGTGTGGGAAGGGGTCTTCAGAGATCATCTAGTCCAACCCCCCTGCCATGGGCAGGGACACCTCCCACTAGACCAGGTTGCTCAAAGCCCCATCCAGCCTGACCTTGAACACTTCCAGGGATGGGGCATCCACAACCTCTCTGGGCAACCTGTTCCAGTGTCTCACCACCCTCATTGTAAAAACTTTATTCCTTATATCCAATCTAAATCTACCCTCTTTCAGTTAGAAACTGTTGCCCTTTGTACTGTCACTACAGGCCCTGGCAAAAACTCTCACTCCATCTTTCTTATAAGCCCCTTCTACATACCGAAAGGACCCAATAAGGTCTCCCCGAAGCCTTCTCTTCTCCATGCTGAACAACCCCAAGTCTCTCAGCCTTTCTTCATAGGAGAAGTTAATTATTTTCTGATGATCTGCTTTGGAAATTTTATTATGAGGCAGATATCCCCACATTCTAAGGGATGCAAGCATTTCAGGAACTCCTAGAGAGGAAGGGCTGCTGAAAAACAGCTTTATGTCCTTTCCGTCATTTTAGAAGCACCAGCTTTCAGGCTCAGTTGGAGATATCTAGCCTCCCAGTTTGGCTCTTGACAGTCCTTGTATCAGCTACTTCAATGGCCAGTGGTGAAAATCCTGGTCATGTGCAGAACCAAATCCTTCCAGTCTAAAGACCCCAAACAGTATATGGTTATCTCATTATTACCAGTATTCCACAGAATCACAGAATGGTCAGGGTTGGAAGGGACCTCTGGAGATCATCTAGTCCAACCCCCCTGCCAGAGCAGGGTCACCTACAACAGGTTGCACAGGACGGCATCCAGGAGGGTTTTGAATATCTCCAGTGAGGGAAACCCCACAACTTCTCTGGGCAGCCTGTGCCCATTAATACTTTATCATGAAAGTGGCACATTCTGCTGTTGGTTATTTCAGCCTGAAGAAAATAAGCTTATTAGTGCTCCCTCTTCTCAGCAAAATCCTTCCCTTTTCCCCCAAAATTATCCTTATGTCCCTCCCACATTCCCAACAGATTCAGTGTCCCTAAACCAAACGTTTGGACCTGCTGCCTGGACAAGGTATTACATAAACTGCCAAACAACATGGATTGTTGTCTCTCCCTGCTGATCCTCCCATGGGGGTGCAAGTAAGAGCTCTCTGCTGTACCCAGCCACTGATCTCTGGCTATGGGAGAATGCTTATCTTTGATTCCTCTACATGCATGTTAAATTTCATTGAAATGACCAGTTGTTTCCTAAGTGACAAATGGGGGGCTGGCTGTGCAATAAAAAAGCCCTTGTTCCTCAAAAAACTACAGAAAACAACTCCATGAGCCTGTAAAAAGTATATCATGAAATTGATCCCCAAATCCGAAAATACGTATTTTAATAAAGATCAAATGGGGCTTTTGAACTGTCTTTTGACTTTGAAAGTTCTGTCTCATTACGAATATATCTAAGTGGAAAGAAAATTTAGGATGGGCAGACTGACCCTGTATTCACACGGGAGAGGGTGTAGGAAAACACCTTTTAATTCTCTTTTCCCACTTCACCCAAAACCACTTGGTTCTGGAGGGGAGGGGTGGGACAACAGAGCTCTGCCCACTTGCTGCAGCAGCTCTCTTTGAATGCTTTTCTTAAGAAAGCTGCCCTTTTCGGCAGGCAAGCAACCAAAGGCACCAGGCAGAGCTTTTGCTCCCTGTCCATCAAGGGCCTGCTTCTGTGGCGTAGTTCCTGCAAAAACTGGGGTGCATTTGAGGCAGGCAGTCTGGGTTGCAGACTGGGGCTGGTGTTTGGCCATGTATCAATAGCCGCAATATGGGTGTCTCTATCTGAGTTATAGTCCGGGCTCCCTTCATAGTCACTGGAGAGAAATAGACAGTTAGGTGCTGATTCACCTGACCTATTTTAGATGTCTACCTTAGGAATAGGTGAATCATA